GAATTAAGTTCTCTACAAAATGAGACACTCCGCACTTCTCTATGATGCCTACAAAAATCGTTTTATTTCATACACTTTTAATAGAAAAAAATTGAGCTGAGATACATAGATCAGCAGTAGGCGCCATCTATTTTACTCGTCGTATTTCTCTTATATTTTTATAAAAACAGTGTATGAAACAGAACGATTTTTGTAGGCATCATAGAGAAGTGCGGAGTGTCTCATTTTGTAGAGAATTTAATTCTTTACAAAACTGATATAGACGGAAAATTTTAAATTGACTTTTTTTATAGAAAAAAATCTGACTTTCGAGAATCAATGAGTCATCAAAAGCAGAAAACTCTTCAAAACTCATTCTGAAACACAACTTTCTTCTATGAAAATTGCATTGTTTTGTTCAGTTTTTTGAGCTTTATCCGATGCACTGGTTGGTTTTGAGATTACTTGCATTCGGTATTTGGAAATGTCATGGATCCCTGGGGCTAATAAACACTAGATTTCAAAAATAAGGATTGATCGTGGATTGGACTTTTGTTTTTATCAAAATATACAGTACAAAATTCTGCATCGAATGGTATGTGTTTCAACTGTTTTCAATACTATTACTCGGTCAGAAAATACAAAATACCAAAAATGTCCTAAAATTATGTGCGCTGGAGAAAAATTGTTTTTACTATAACTCATCCAAAACAGACTCGATCTTGGCAATTTTTTCAGGTAACATAGTACTTAACAAGAGCTTACTATCACTGAAAGAACAAGATCTCTATCTATAAAGCCGGCTGAGTTATAGCAAAAACAAAAATGTCCTAAATTTATTTCCACCACTTTATCTCATGTGTGTAATCGTCAGCACACCAAATATATGAATATGATTGATTTAAAAATCTGCTTTTGCTAAACTTGCGTGATCATAGAAATATTATACTTGCGAAAATTTGCATGTAAACTTTCTTAATTTTTTTGCGTGTGCATGGACCCATTATCGTGCGTTTACATGCGTGTTTTTAAATCATGTTTGACTGGCAAGAGCAAAAATAATTCACTCTATAACTACTTCAATTTTTATACTGTCAGTTTAATGTAATCAACTGTTAATAAATTGTATTTACTGATTTTTAAATTTATTTGAAAATCTAATTAATTAATAACTGACCGTTTAAGTAAACTACTGATCAACCATTTACTTCTCTGATCAATCATTAAATTGATTGATTTTACAATTATTTGATTTACTGACCATAAATCATACTCCCTATATTATAGTTGAGAAAGTATATTGTTTTCAAATTGGATTAAAATCAGTTTCAAAACTCATGATATTTATAACAAAAAAATGAGAGAAATTTTTTATCGACTTTGTAAAACGATAGTGCAATGTCTATTCTAGATAGTGCCTAAACTCGAGTTATTTTTTGTCTCTTTTTGTTTTTAAGCTACAAATGATCGTACCGTGCGTGCAAATACAAGCGAATACAATCACAGTAATTGTAACAAACAGCAGCAAAGTGAGAATGATGCATCGTTTACGCATGATTCATCTCTCTCCACCTAACTTTTTTGCTTATTCTCAATAAGATATGTCCCATGACGAGCATGACACATCGATCAAAGTTGATAGAGAAAGAGGAAAGAACCCAATTTAGCAATTAACAAGCAACGATGATATACTATTTATGCATTACCTGTCAGTTTTCATGGAGGTTTTGGTTATTTTCACGTAGAATGCGTTCCACAACGACATGACACATTCGTAATAATTCCTTGAGTAATGGGAGAAAAATTATGTGGGCCATGAATGAGCGAGACTGAGTCATTGTCATTGCATGATATATCTATTTATCTAACTTTCAATTATTATATGGGAATACTCCATTGTAAGATTCACTCAATAATAATGACTACAACTAGCGTTAGTATAAAAACTGATGTTCACTGCCCATTTCTCTTCAATCACAGTTTTCGATTTCGCTGATGTGCGAAAAAAAGAATATTAAATGTTAGTCGTTTCTGATTCGACGTACTTTTAACATTCATTATTCTTAAGTCTCTCTCTTGTTCACGTTTTCATTTACCGCTATAGATTGAGCCCAATACTGCGTAGGTACTCTTACCGATTCATTGCTTATATAACCTATTTCTATCTAGTTATTAGAATAGTTATCTTCATTCACTTTCTGCTGTTTTAGATAATAAATAAGATATCTTCGCGAGAACAAATATAGGCATGTTTCACTCGATACTGGTCTATTCTCTCCTTTTTGTTAGCATATTGTTCAATGTTCAAGGTTACGACAACGATAAAGATTTTCTACTTAGAAGCTTGATTCGTCGACGGCTTGCTCGCTCAACCTGTCCTAATTCAAGTCAGTGTTTATCGAAATGGGGTTATTGTGGAACGGGATCAGCTTACTGTGGTGATGGTTGTCAAGCTGGTCCATGCTCAGGAAGTGGAAACACTGGAGGTGGCCTTGACTGTCCCAATTCCAACGAATGTCGGTCGCGATGGGGCTATTGTGGAACGGGATCAGCTTATTGCGGTGATGGTTGTCAAGCTGGTCCATGCTCAGGAAGTGGAGGAACTAGCAGTGGAGGCAGTACAGGTAATCTTTTGGACAACAATCTATTTCTCTATATGGTGAATGTTTCCATTGATCAAAGGAAGCTAGGATAAAGGGATTCCTTTCTTCTAAATCACTTGCTATAGAGGATGTAGTTGATTGAGACTGAAACAACTCTTCGAAATCACGAATGATTTTTCTATTTGTTCAATATAGTTTCAGGTGTTTGTTTCTCGTTTAGGTAGCACTTTTCAAGGAGATGCTACGTATTATAGCGTTAGTGTTGGCTACACAGCATGTGGAACGATGCACAGTGATAGTGAATATATCGCTGCATTGAATGCAGCACAATTTGATCCGTATACGCCCAATGGTAATCCAAATCGCAACAGCTTATGTGGTAAGCTAGTCAATGTAGTTGGCCCTTTAGGAACTGTTACAGTAAAAATTGTTGATAAATGCCCTGGATGTAAGTATGGCGATCTTGATTTATCCGAAGCTGCTTTTAGAGTCGCAATTGGAGACTTTGGTATTGGCCGTGCCAGAATTACATGGAAATGGCTTTAAAAACATGTCATTGTGCATACAAATTCTTTTTAAAGAAATTGTCAGAATGCACACTTACTGCTCATTTTTTTTGTTTTATGAATATTATTATTTACTCACATTATTCCGTTTTCTTGAAAATAAATTTTCAAACATATTTAGATTGGTGAGACATTTTAATCTGTTGCAATGCTCATAGAATGTAAAGAAATTCTTGAGCTCTTACTTTCAATCACTATCGAATTGAATTTTCGTGAACTCATTTGCGAAAGATGACTCACTCAGAATAACACAAGACTTATTACGAACATGAAAAGTTAAATCTAACCATCTATAGTTAGACTCTTTTTGTTAAAGAGGCTCTTTGTATTGATATACTCAATTGAAGTTCTCCAGATCTTTTTCGTAGAAAACTGTTGCTGATCAAATTGGTCCTCTTCTTTCAGAGTAGCTTCTTTTTTATACTGATTGTAATGGCAATCTTCCAAGTGATTCTTGATAATAACAAACACCTGCATTTGGGTGAAATTTGATTCCTTCTCTACTGTTATAAAAGGATTCCATCAGGAAATGAATTCCCAAAGCGAACTGTTTCTATACGTAATTGTGATAGATCTATTTTCATTTAAAAGCAGGAGTACCAGCTCTGAGCTACAACTCAAAGAAGGTAGCACGCGTCTACATATGAGCAACATCTTGTTTTAAACTTATGCTTCTGACAAATAATAAGTAGAGATGAGCGGGGCCAATCATTTCTGGTCCTGGTCTCGCTCCCGGCCTGAAAAAAAAGTGATCCCGGTCCCAGTCAGAAAAAAAACAACTGGTTCCAGTCTCGACACTAGTCAGAAAAAAATGTTGGTCCTAACCTCGGTCAAAAGACAACCTAGTTTCTGTCCCCGTTCGAAAAAAATTTTTAGTCTTGGTTTCGCGCTTAGCAATACGAATGCTAACGCAAAATATGATATGCCTTTCTAGCAATGTCAATAAGCTTGAGACATCTTGCATGACCCAAATGACCTCTAATATCCTTCGTCTTGGTGGTTCATTTCTGTTTTTAATTTACTGGTACTTTGTCTACGTTATATGCTTGTATTCATTAACTTTGCTGTTGATGAAAATAAGGACTCATTTTATTATCGAAATTTTGACAACAAATATTGAAGTGATTGTTACTCTATTATTTTGTACAAATCTTGACCTTTAAATTCTAAGTTCAAGTTTTAATATCCTTGAACACTTTTTTCTTATTTCAGTAAATTTCGTATCAAGTTGCTGAATAATTCCTTTTTAGACTCTGGTATGCACGCGCTATCTGCCGAAGATTCATCAGATTTGATCAAAAAAACTGATCCATCTATATCTTACTTTAATCCACTAGAAAGAGACAACAACAGCTAAAAAAAGAAAAACAAGTGAACATTGGAGTGGATTTCGACAAATAATAGTAAATGGTGTTAAAACAAATTACATTATCTGTGATAATTGTTAAACTTTGCTGAAATAGCGAGCTGATGATGGTACAAACGTAATGAAAGAGCACATTATTGGATGTACGTCTCATTCTTCTGTTTCATCATCTACTCAACCAATATCTACATTCTTCACACTTGATGTACATAATAAGTCACGTACTACTCGTTTAGCCAAACATAAGTTGAAAAAGCGATTGCAGAATGTTATATTCTTGACAGTCATCCGTCTACACTTACTGATGGCTCTGGTTTTCAAAAAGTAATTAATGAAGCAATGTCAATTGAAATTTCATTAGGTAAATCAATTCCAATTGAAACAATCATTCCCGACTGAACAACAGTAAGTTTTCTTACTTTTGAAGCTCACAATTTTGAGGCTTTCTTCAGGTTCGCTGAGAAATCGACACTATGTACACCTAGAGAAAAAATCAATTTAAAAAAATTATCAAAAGTATCAACCGTTATTCAATAACCGTCGATTTCTGGACAGAATCACACATTGGTGTTACTTTTGGTGGCGTTTCACTTCATTGTTATTTCAAAACACATACTTTAAAATCTATGGTACTCGCTTGCCGTGAATACGATTTACCTAGTAGTAAAAGTTCCAATATACGTACATTTACTGAAGGTATCTTATCTGAATTTGATTTAACATTAAACGAAAATGTCTATATAGTCACAGACAATGAACCTAAAATGAAAGCAGCATTTAGAGAAGGAGTTAAAAGAATTGGATGCTGCATACATTTGTCAACAAAGTTATCGAGCATTCATTAACAAATTGCAATATTGGTTATGATCTAATTCAGCAAACATTTAATCAAGTTAAAACAATTGTTACACATATTAGATAAGCGCACATACAAGCACAATTATCTCAATCTATCAATTTATTTTCTAAAACCAGATGGAACAGTGCGTTTCAAATGATGCAAGATTTTCTTGATATGCATTCAGAGATAAACGAATTATTGACAAGTGCTGATCAAAAACTACGTTAAGTATCGATGGATGTGGATTTGTTAAAAGAATTTGCAAAATATTTTGTATTGTTTAGTAAGTATTATTTTTCTTCATATCATGCCCTGTAATTATAATCATGTGGGTTCCGCGCACTATTGAACTGACTCTTATTAATTTTCTTTCTCCGTGTGTCTACAAATTTTTAACTATTTTAATTCAAGCTACAGAAACGTTAAGTGCTAAAAAACGACCAACACTTTATCTCGTCATTCCAATAAAAATGCAGCTAATAGAATTATCTCACTTGGATCTAGATGATTCTGATGCCATTACAAATATTAAACTTTTTTTTTCATCTGAATTGGAATCTCAATGGATAATTACTAAAGAACATCTGATGGGGATGATATTACATCCAAATTTAAAAACATGCACGTGAGTATTTAAAAAAATCATTTATATTCCAGGAGACTGTGAGAGAAAACAACATGGACAATTATCAAATCCATCTACCCATTCAGAAAATCTTGTCGGAATTAAAATACAATTTACGGTTTTGCATTGAAAATATATGACAACCTTCTTACGTTTTAAGCAGATTATCATCACTAAAGGAGATTTTAGTTCAATAAAAATTTGTTTTAATATGTTATTCAATGATTACCCTTTGACTAAAGCGATATTGCTTTATCCAATATTAAAATTGAATTAGCATAGCCTCATTTTAATCTTGATATGTTACTTTAATTTTAGCTCATTTTTTTTCTATATTTACATGTTTAGCATTTGTCCTAAATTAAAAGACGAATTTTATAATGTTTTAAAAGAAGAAATCGATAAACGACCATCATTTGAGTCAGAGACACACAAAAAATCTGCTAAATTAACAACGTCTTCAGTTACACCAAAAAGAAAAAGAAAAAATTTACTTTCTGATTGTTATGATCCTGATTCATCAATTAAAACTATGTCAAATGCTGAAACAGAAATTGAAAAGTAAATAAAAACATGTTTCACATTCGATTCAGATATAGATGATCTACTCGATTTTTGGAATAAACAATAACATACTTATCCAGTACTAAGTTCAATTGCTTTTGATATCCTTGTCATCCCGGCAACAAATACCAGCGTTGAGCGCTTCTTTTCAACTAGTGCAGCAAGTATTACAAATAAAAGAACACGATTAAATACCGCAAAAATTGATACGTTGATGTTTCTCAAAAGTAACTTGACATTTTTAACAGCATTTCATCATGTTAATACTACTGACAATTCTTCGACAGAAAAATTAGTAAACAAAGAACTATATGAAATTGTTGATGATTCAAGCAGCGACGATGAAGACAATGAAACTAATAGTAGTAAAAATAATTATGCGGACGATATGTTTTGATAGTCATATGCTGCTTTTTTGTATTTTTTTCTTCAATAAGTGAAATATAAGTGTTGTACAAAACATTGAGATATACTGTAATATCTCAACAATTTTTGCATGAACTTTTAGGATAAGAGTCATGACAATATGACTTGTAAAACAAATTTTACACAATTAAAAAAGATTGCACTTAAATTAAAGCATGGTGGTCCTGATTTCTGACCCGGTCCCGGTCAAAAAAATGGTTAGTTCCGGTCCCGATCCTAGTCCCGGTGGGACCGGAACCATGTTGCCCATGTCTAGTAATAAGTGATAAATTCAGTTTGACTGAGAATTCAATGCACAGTGTACGTGGACACTCTGTGGCATTATGCCTAGTGTACGAAGTGTGTACTTACTATAATAAATGGAAGAATATCCGATGAAAAATAGCATTTCAATACAAATATCCTTGAGATTTGAATAACAAAGCCTAGTGACATTATCAAAACACATTAATCGTCTACAATAGACACAAATTAGTGTCTACTTTTCAACTATTGCTTTCTACTGAATGTGCAACCAAACTTTCAATGACTGTGTGCATAATTCAGGTTAATATGAAAATGGGAATTCATATTTCCTAACGTGCTATTCCCAACGGAGTTCAAAAGTACATTTTTCACATCATGAAACCAAACTTATGAATGATGTCTCTATGTCGTCACATACATCAGCATGATTCATAAGAGACTTCTATAGTTTCTTTCCATGTCACTCATCTGAGCAAAAGTACTTTAGGTAATATTTGAGACTATTTACGTCCATTTAAATCGTCTTTTTTTATAGATTTTCATCAATTATGCTGCACTTACGATAGAACATTCTCAAGTGAACCACTCTGTTTGCTCTTATATTTTACTAATACGTAAGATATCAATAGAATAACGTAACCTCTAAACATTTGCTGCTTGTAGTTAGGTCTGGTTGTGATAGTCACTTTCTAGTGGATTTCTCCTGCGGAAGTCCACTTAGTGAAAAAAATGATATTTCGGAATTTCGACCTGAAATTTTGTACCAATGAATGCATCGATAAGCTATCTATCTCGTATACAAAGTTGCATCAATTTTGGATATACTATTACTAACGAGGGAACATTCCCAGGTGTCAAATCGCTTTTGGGTCGAGTATGTGCGCAAACGATAGACCTCAGTGAGTTATTAAATTCCCTAGAATGGTTTGGTTTTCCAGCCTTCTGCTGCCGAGTTATGGATCTTTTACTCGATTTTGGTCTATGGGCATAGGATTCTTCTGAGAACCTGAATGATCGAATTTCGAACTGAAATTTTCTCCATATATAGGCCTTATAAGTACGAGAA